TTGTAAAAATGGGCAAGTGGTCGAGTGATCTGATCATAAGACTGGCTTTTCGAATCGTGCGGCAGGCGATTTTTCAGGGAAGTGACATTTAAGTAATATCGTCGCAAGGAGACGATTACAGCATGCGATAAAAAATGGAAATAAAAATGAAATTATACGGAAGCCGATGATGGTGTTGCCGTATGAAAATCATCGCAAACCAAGTTATGAGCATAGTGGGACTGTTTACTTATGGATCATGCCAGAAAATACGCCCCTTTAGATTATCACAACTGGCCGATAACATAAGCACATGTAATTTGAAGAGAAAATAATGACATAGTCAATATTTTGATGTTTGCCACTACATTAAACAAAAAGTTGGGAAGGAAACCCTCATCACTACAAGAAACTGATAAAAAAAGGGTGTTCCAATAAATAGGAGCGATTTTAATTGTGAATTAAGTTTGAGCGTCTAATGATTTTTCTTTTTCTTTCAGATTTAACAACTTGTCGTTTAAAGTCGTTGGAAATTTCAGCCATGGAAAGTGTCATGGGTCCTTACCTATAACTACAGAATGAACTCTTCCTAACACCATGTATACTACGCCTCTCAAGGGAGAGGGTCGAATCAAGCCGAGCTTCTCAACTTGACGGTCGAACTCTCTGCCTCTGAGCAGAGAGGAACCCGGACGAGGCTTCGCCGAAGGGCAGAGTCTCGTTCGGGGAGGTTGACCAACCCGATCCCGTTTATACGGGTTCTACGGGCATTTTTTAGCCGAGCCTACGGGCTCGGGAAACCCACGTTAAACTCGGCCGTGTGCCACATGCAACCCTCTTGGGAGGTTGCTAGATACCGAATCGAGTCGAGCCGATAGTAGTTCACTTCAAACCAGACTGACAGTCATACTAACACCTTCCACATCTTGTAATATACCTTCGTTATTTCTACTCTTGTGTCCGTGTTCTTCCTTGGTCCTAACCTGGACCATAACAGAAAGATTACTAGATTAGTGACAGTGGATAGCGATTGACATTACTTTAAATTTTTTCAGATTAAAGTTGGCTGGAATGCATGGAGCTGGAAGGGAGTTCCACAAGCGAAAAGTTCAAGAAACTGTTGGTGTAGAATTTACGGTTACGTCTAGCCAA